ATGAATCTTCGTCTATTCTGCATTACATTTGTTACACGGCCGGTTATGTTATCAAATATCTTGCCATTTTAAATAGTTCAGCCCCTATATGTGTCTCAGTATCATGGTGTTTGCAATGAAAACTATCTATTGTTGCCATTTTCTCCAAACGAAACATAAATTTTGTTACTAATGAAAAAATAGGAGGAAAACACGAGCTAATGGCTTTACGCTATTTGGTAAAGCAAGGCATAATACCATTATCGTAATGGCACCTCTTAAATAAACGTGCGTAGGATTTAGTGACCTTTAATGATTATTTAGAGTTCGTGGGATGCGGTCGGGTGTGATTTAGGTTTAGAAGAACGTTTTCTGTATGGTGCCAAAGTTTCGACCTTTAGTGAGGTCACCTTCAGCAAAATCAATTGTATAAATTGTCTGACAACATACATCGGAATTGGTCAAAGGAACACCACTAAAGGCATATTCCTACTGGAATACTGACAGTTCAAAAACGACAAGGGTAGGAGAGCTGGGGTCTTTGGTATGAACCTCAAGACTAAACTGAAGGTAAACCTAGGTAATTATGCTGCAGTTTACCAGTCTGAAATCGGAGCGATTGAACAATGTGCCAGAGAAAAAAAAGCTAGGAATACATTCCCGGAAGATAGCCATTTTCTCTGACAGCCAGGCAGCATTCAAGGAAAATATAAAGAGAGTCCGGAACTGTTCCGGAAGTTAGCGACACTAATGACCTTAGCCTGGAATAGTTGTGTTGGCACTCGGGGCCTAGAGGCAACGAAAAGGTTGAATTGTTGGCCAAAAAGGAAGCCAACATGGACTCTCTGGGCCCAGAACGCTACTGCGGCATAGCGGCCTAGAATCTGCCACAAAAGAGGATACATCTTAAAATGGATCCTTCATGAGACCAAATCTTTGTGGAACAATTCCACATGGCGCAGGCGAAGAGAATCATGGAAGGTCCATTCACAAAACTTACATAAGAATTATTGGAATGCAACCGCAACCGAACGAGTCAGGATTCTGGTTTACTCCTGTCAGGGCATGAGGTTCCCGAGAACACTTCGTCAACAAGGCAAGAGGATATTTAGCGTCCGCACCTGGCCTATTCGGCCTTATCGGACGTTTTGATTCTCAAGATGACAACAGACGCACCTCTGCATACGACGGAATGGTGTTACTGCCGCAGCATTGGTGTAGAGGCGCCCCAGCCCCTAAGGGCTAAAACAACTTCGCTCTCCGCTTGTCCACTCCGAATGGTCGGGTCCGCATTGTGCATCGGGTCGTATGCCGCACGCGAAGGGCTAACAGGGCGAAATACATCAGCCTGTTCTCCCGCGTACTCCCAAGATAGAGAAAGCGACTCTATCTCCCAGATTATTGGGGATTCTCATAAGCGTGGAAACTACCGGATCCGCCAGGGGCCGCGGTTTTGTTTTTATTGGAATTGCTAACCAATCTCTAGATGAGCACCGTCTACGGGAAAACCTCCTGTCGAGCTCAGCCTACACCTTCCACGCGCATTCGAGGGACGCCATAGGCTTAGCCTAGGTGGTCCGATCCTTCGCTTCCCCATGGGTATCACGCCGGTCATACGCACAACAATGCAAAGCACACTCGAGTCAGAGCAACCGATTCACTACCTGTTTCCATTCGCTTACTCACTCATTCGAGGGACTATTCAGCATAATCATCGCGTCCTCAACGCCTATACGCTGTCGTCCGGTCGCAACGTCTCCCAAGAGGCCGGGGGTAATAACGCTGGCCATACGCAAGCTTCACGAAGGTCACAAATAGAAGACAGCCACTGTCTAAGTTCCCGCCAGGGGCGTCACCACATACCACCACGAATCCGTTTTCAGTGTAACAAGGGCTGAATTTGGAAGGTTTAGTTACCCCGTGGTACAGATGGCCATACACCCTCCCCCGTCTATGCAGACAGGATCTGGTGCACTGGCCTTCGTGTGACTCTGCTAAGGCAACCGCTGCCCATTCCGACCCTAGGCACGAGTACAGCTTATGCTTTAGAGAGGTTGCCCCGCCCTCTGGGCTACACCTTTATTTTGTGCAGGGGTGTGTGCGTCACAGGATAGAATGAAGGAACTCGGATTGAGAAAAGGGACGTGGCTGAGAACACTAGGTGAGCCGTTTCGGGGTCTCGAGCCAACGAACCACCCGTCGTTGCCGCAGCTCCACACATAGTAGGCTACGACTCCCAGGGTGGTTGCGCTTGACAGGGCAATGCCACTTAAGAAGGCATATGCGCAGGATAGGAGTACTGACAGAAGAAACACTGTGCAGATACTGCCAGGAAGAAGAGGAGACCGCAGATTACATTTTATGTTTCTGTGAAGGTCTATGTAGTCTATGTAGGTGCAGGTATTTGCAACCAGGACAAGAAAAACCACAAGGAAGATCCTACATCAACGAACCGCTCGCAAAGCTGTGGAGGCTGGTTTGTAGCCTGAAGCTGGCCGGTGAGTTATAAATAACAGGGAAGCAGAATAGGTCTATTCAGGTCGAGGTGGCCGCCTCTTTCATCCGTATCCCTACATTGGAATTATATCCTAGTGTTTGGAAAAGAATGTAAAACAATGACAGCAAAAAACCTGAACAAAACCCCACAGCACTGTTACCATTTTGAACACCAACACAATTTTGATATCATCAACAGAAAAATATTAAACACAGGACAAAACAAACATCGAGGTAAATTTTTAGAAATGGTTTACATCACAGAGATAAGCATGTCAATTACAGAACAGACTCGTGTAAACTCAGCCGCAGCCACGCTCACATCATAAATCAAATTCAATATAGATAACATATATATATCATCACGTCACAAAAACACATATTATAACATATAAGTTCGAAGTCACGATAGCGCGTTAGAGCAGTGGCGTATTAGCCGAAGGTCGTGGGTTCGAATCCCGCTCCTGACACTGATGTTTTCATCTCAACCAAGGCCTTACATAAAAAGAATAATTAATTGGAATAATTAATATGATCAATTAGAGACCACTACACATGAATGGATTTGCACCCAAACTTATTAATGTTGCAATAAAACAGGCAGCGAAAAAATAAAAAGCCTTACCTTTCATAAAAACACACATAGTATAGAAGCAAAGAGAAAATATTTGTAAGCTGACCTTAGTTGTAAATTTTAGTGTACGTAAACTATGCCTACCATAAATTCTAGATGTGGGAATTATGACCGTTCTATATCGTACAGTTGTCAAGGCGTGTAACATCAACCTGTTTACAAGTTCAGTAGATTTCCTAAGGTAAGCTTAGACCTACGGTCCATTTTCTCAAGAATCGGCGAGACAGGGTTTTTGCAGTGCGATCACAATTTATCACCAAGGATCAGCCCGCCAGGGGGCGGTTCGGCCCAATCTGGTATATGTCAACATCATCCCGGCCTCACACCGACCGGTTCAACGTTTTACAAAAATAATCCAACCACGGCAAACATTGTGAGGACTTTTGATAACAAATGATTTCGAAACGTGACTCGGGCCCAGGACTGTAACAAATGGACTCCTGGCCGCACTATTTATTTTCACGATTCTAATGTTCTCTCATATTCCGAGGCATTCATTCTCCGACCTATGATTGTGGCAGCTGTCTCGCTCCGGTTGGGGAAAGACCGAAAAATATCCGTTTGTTTTTCCTCTTATGCAAATTTATGGACTCCGGGAGAATAGGAGGATTATTTTTGCAAAGTTAAATTGTTTATTTCGGGTTTTGTGTGCAAATGGAAATATCTCATGAATTTTGTAAAAAAACTCTTTCAGCTTTCTTCTAGCGCATGAAATATAACTTGTTTAACCTAAAGACAACAAAAATTTTACCATTTCCATCTTTTGCATCCCGAAATATTACAGTTTTTAGACAATATTTTATTAAAGTGCTAGTATAAGCTGGCTCTAGATAAACAATCATTAAAAATATTATTCTTTTTATAGTTAAAATTGACTAAAAATTGTTGCTTTTGTTAAAAGCTAGTGCATTATTTTTGGTATTTGAAAATACATGTTCCTCCTAGTTTCTATCTTCCTTTATGCAAAAATTTTGTTTACAAGAAAAACTTAATTTTTAGTAAATATCTGTACCCTCAGCAATCCCTGGAGCTTTGGCGATTGACAAAGCCAAGTTCTGGTTCAAAACTATCAATATACACTAGTTGTTGACAATAGAAAAAGTTTATTGTATTCCGTTTTGTTTTATACGTGTGTTTTCTGTTTTATTTTTTATATGGTTTTTTATAGAAACACGTCACACTCATAATTTCCTCAAAAGTACCTAAAGTGTATCCAGTATAAACCATTAATATATTGAAAATGATATTTTTAAATAATTCACTAGTTTTCGTGGTCCGCTTGTCCAATTAATATCTTTCAATTAATTAAAGTTTTTAGTTGAGATAAAAAAGTCAATTTGACCAGCGCGATTCGAACCCACGACCTTCGGCTAGATACGCCGCTACTCTACCACCTGAGCTATCGTGACTTCGATCAACTTGGTCACTAACGAAGTCATGATAGCTAAGGTGGCAGAGTAGCGGCGTATCTAGCCGAAGGTCGTGGGTTCGAATCCCGCTGGTCACATTGACTTTTTTATCTCAACTAAAAATTTAATTAATTGAAAGATATTAATAGGTCAAGCGGATCACGAAAACTAGTGAATTGAATCAGTTAAAATGAAGTACATCTTCACTAAACTTCTCCCGGGCCATTTCAATTGACGCCGAGAATCAAATAGATTACACGACATTTGAAAAATGGCAAAAACGTGGAAAAATTCAAAATATGTGGGGTTGAGATGGGAAGTTAGTGTCAATGTGAATCGAGATCACGATAGCTCAAGTGGTAGAGCAGCGGCGTATCTACCCGAAAATCGTGGGTTCGAATCCCGCTCGTGACATTGACTTTTTTATCTCAACTAAAAATCTTAATTCATTTTTAAATAATTTAAAATATATATTTTTTCAGTGACGGTCTTTCTGGGACTGCTAGCGGTCGTTCTTCAGACATGCAGGTCCACGCCTTGCAAAACCTCACGCACCTACTTTCTTCCACCTTCTCGTCGCAGTTCGTTTTTCCTGTTCTGGGACACAATGATCCTGGATCCAATCCGGGAGAGAGGCTCGGATTTAAGGACGTAGGCCATTTCTGGAGGCAATGGCTTCCGACTGAAGCAATCAACACTTTCAACAAAGGTAACATTGATTTTTTTTTTTTTTCATGAAGCCTCGTCTAAACACGTACCATTTGTATTCCCATTAGTTTTCACGGCAGTTTTTAAATTGAAACAGATTAAAACCCTAAAAATTGTATATTATTTTTATGAGGTGTAGGATTGGCCACCCTGCCCAAACAAGGGCCGTTTTGACTATTTTTCGTGGAAAGAAATACCATTTGAAAATAGAATACTACCACCGATTTTGCTCATAATAAAATTGATTTCATCATAATCTAAACTTTAAAGTAATTCAAATTATTTTTGAATAATTCCGATCAACTACGTCTGGTTTACCATGATATATCTCGACAAGAAATTCGCCTAAGTGAAGATTTCCTTTTTTATTTTGTATCAAAAACTACCTCCCACACGGATCCTTCTTTTATCAACATCCGACTGCCAGAGAAAACAATGTTCAATTTCTATGATGTAATTTGACTGTAACCGGAACACTTCTAGCTTTGTCAGAAAATCAACTCTCCTGAAAAGTTGTATTTTTTAATTTATTAAAATTTTTAGTTGAGATAAAAAACGTCAGTGTCACGAGCGGGATTCGAATCCACGATCTTCGGCTAGATACGCTGCTGCTCTACCACTTGAGCTATCGTGACCTCGATTCACACTGGAACTAACTTCCCATCTCAACCCCACCTTTTTTAATTTTCCCTCTTTTTTGGCATATTTTAAATATCGTGTAATCTATTTGATTTTCGGCGACAAATTAAATGACCACGGAGAGCTTTACTGGAGATATACTTCATTTTAACTGATTCAATTCACTAGTTTCGTGGTCCGCTTGACCAATTAATATGTTTAAATTAATTAAGGTTTTTAGTTGAGATAAAAAAGTCAGTCTCACGAGCCGGATTTGTCGCCGAAAATCAAATAGATTCCACGACATTTGAAATATGTGAAAAAGGAAGGAAAATTTAAAAAAAGGTGGGGTTGAAGTGGGAAGTTAGTGACCGACTGAATGGAGGTCACGATAGCTCAAGTGGTAGAGCAGCGGCGTATCTAGCCGAAGATCGTGGGTTCGAATCCCGCTCGTGACAGTGGCATTTTTATCTCAACTAAAATCTAAAATAATTGAAAAATATTAATTGGTCAAGCGGACTACGAAACTAGTGAATTTAATAAGTATTTCGTAACGTTTCTGTACGTTTATCTCTAACACCTGCTGGTATTTTAAATTTTTTTAGCAAGGTAATAAGCATATAATTGTATTTAAATTTATCATTTCGTCACAAATTTAATTTATTCCAAAACTTTAGCGTATCACAATTTTCTAAAAACTCTAGCTAACATTTCGCAATATATAAAGAAAAATAAAAAGCAAAATATTGATTGCATATACCAAGCACATTTTGATCAAATAATGCCAAAAATTGGCAATTTCTTGCCATCTCTTTGGGAATTAATTGTTTTGAGAAATTATTAAAGAACAGTAAAATTTTAGAGATTTATTTTAACATAAATAAATGGTCAATCTCTCTACAAAATAAAACTATATCAAATATAAAATCTGTTTCAAAGAAATAGAAGAAATAAAACAAGTTTGCAAAAAAAAAAAAAAATAGTTGCTAGTCTCTGAAACATTTGAAAGCCACCAATATTTTTAACATTCTCAAAGAAATATTAAATCCACACACCAATGGGTTCGTTAATTAAAGTTTAGTTACGGACGTTCTCAACCCTTGGAGATTACTGCTGACTTAACTGTTATTTCATAGGCCGTTATCATCTTTCCTTAACGACTTAATATATAGTAACCCAGGGCTGGGAGCGTAATTAATAATTACGACTTTTAATATCAGGCACAGGTCATCGTTTAAGCCGTGTTGAAAAACCGTTTACGACCGTAACATAAAAGTGGTAAAAACAACATATAAAATTTGATTGAATGTACAAACCTACAGCATTGCAAAAAAATCATTTCCGTTGTATCAACAATAGTATCAAGTAATTATAAAGAAATAACGTTATTTCAAAATCTCTTCGTTTACATTTCAATACGTATTCTCTTATGTAGCTTGGGTTTCTGTTTATCTTCTGATTTTTGAAGGTGGGATAGGTCACCTAAAAAAAACCGGTTTTTTTAATCCACAACGTTCGGATTTATTTTAATCCTTCCTCAGGTGAGTTGATACAAATAAAAGATTCCTTCCATTTTTAGACCAACATGGTTATCATTGTTTCTTTCATACTTACAGTGGTTAAAACAGTGGTCGTCAGTCATTAATATTTTTTAATAGCTTATTTTAAAAGAAGCCAGTGTGATACATATTTAAGTCCTTCAGACTCCGAAAAAACGGTTTAATATTTTGGTCATGACTAGACTCTTATCACAACCTAATATGAAAGGTTTTCAACATCTTATCACAGACCAACGAATTAATATTAAAAAACCAGTCAACAATTAAAGCTACATTTTTCTTAAAATCCACATTCTTAAACAACAATTTTTAACATAATTTTAAACAATTATTATCACAATTATCACAGATTTAAAGTTTCTTCCTAAGTTTAAAATTTGCTTGGCTAATTTTTTGTGTTATTTAACAAATTAAAATATCAATAATTTATCATATCACAGTCTTGACGGTAATTAACAGACAGTTAATCTTTCTTTATGCAAAAGACCTCCAGGAACTTTCGTTTTTTTGCATAAAAAAAGATAAACTGTCTTAATTAACGTCAAGACTGTGATATGATAAGTGATTGTTATTTTAATTTGTTAAAAAATACATGAAATTAACCAAGTCAATTTTCCACTTTGGAGAAAACTTTAAATCTGTGATAATAATTGTTAAAAATTTGAATTATTTAATGTCATTAATGACATTAATTGAGATATTGAATTAATTAATTGAGAAAAAAAGTCAGTGTCACGAGTGGGATTCGAACCCACGATCTTCGGCTAGATACGTACCTCTACTACCTGAGCTATCGTGTCTTCGATCCACTCGGACACTAACTTCCCATCTCAACCCCACCTTTTGAATTTCTCTTTTTTGCTATTTTTCAAATGTCGTGTAATCAATTTGATTATCTGAGACAAATGAAATGGTCACGGAGAGCTTTAGTGAAGGTATAATTCATTTTAACTTATTAAATTCACTAATTTTCGTAGTCCGTTTGACAAATTACTATCTTTCAATTAATTAAGGTTTTTAGTTGAGATAAAAAAAGTCAAAAATGGCAAAAAGAATGGAAAATTGAAAAAGGTGGGGTTCAGATGGGAAGTTAGAGTCCGAGTAGATCCAAGTCACGATAGCTCAAGTGGTAGAGCAGCGGCGTATCTAGCCGAAGATCGTGGGTTCGAATCCCGCTCGTTACACTGACTTTTTTATCGCAACTAAAAACCTTAATTAATTGAAAAATCATTTTTATATCTAACATGTATTTCTATAATGCAAAAAATGTTTGTAAATCCCTGGCCCTGAAGATGATCTAAGTAAAGGTCGAAACGTTGGTACGATAAGGAAAATCACACCAGACCGCATCACACGATCATTAAATAAATATATAAAGTATTGTAAAGTTGTGACCTCTCGTCCATGACGCCCAGCGGATAACGAAGACATTAAGCCCTTTTGAATGAAGGATTAACTTCAGTTTACGTTCTTTCTATTAGTTTCTTTGAAAAGGTAGTAATTTGCTTGTGTGTAAAGATGAGTGCATTACTCAAATATTATAATTTTTTTTTTTTTAACTAAAAATTTGCTTCATTGTGCTATTTTTTTTTTTACTAAAAATTTGCTTCATTGTGTAATTTTTAAAGAAGAAATATAGGTCAAGAACATCTAGACATTTTTATATCAAACTTTCCCTCAGCAGTAGAGTTTCAAGAATTTCATTTAATTTCTTCCCTTTACCTCCTGGCCTCTATTCAAAACTCATAAGAAGTTTTCAGGCCGAGAGCTGACTTGCATAATAAAGTAGCTTTAATATAGATTTTTTTCCTTTACACCAGGGATTTATAAGTCTTAAAAATTGTCTAACTTTTCGTAAGGAGGCAGTTTTGAATAATAAATTTTTCAGCTTGTTTAATCAAAGGGCGTCAAACATTTGCCCGAGATGTTGATAACTAGGACAATGAATGACAATGGGGCAAGTTGAACAAGCTAATTGGGCCAGACGAGAAGGAGTTGCCCTATTCTGAGCTGCTAAGCAGGTGTGCTCGGCTGAGTCTCATCTTTTACGATATAGCAGCTCCCTGGATACAAGCAATATGGCTGACACCGTAAAGACAAACTTTTATATCTTCCTAAATGGCTTTGTTTTTGCTCGGAACCCACTTTTGTGCCTTAGGGCTCCCAGGGCTTTTCCACGCCCTTCCAGCTTTTAACACTTCCATCACCGAGGTCCTGTTCGAGAAAAATAATGGCAATAGGTGAACAAAATGCTTTTTTATATTGAAATACTTTTTTTTGGGAGGGGGTTTAACACACAAACCCAACATCAAAGTCTTTCAACGTTATAAATCAATAAAAAATTAAATTATAAGTCTTTACGTTATGAGACAAACATAAAAACATTGGATAAAATAAAACGAAGCGAAGCATGAATAAATAACGAAAATGAAACATGCGGCAAGGTCCAACTTTTTACGAACTTCCTCAATTTTACATTTTACGATTAAAATTTCATTCTGACCATTTAATGAAAAACAGTAATCTACCGATATATTTTATATTAGAACAATTTTATTGTTTACTACCTTATACTAAAAAACTGACAATAATAACAATGCGAAACCAATTTTTATTTTTAAAAAACCATATTAATTGGACCAAAAGACACACTGGACGGAAGAACCGAAATTACATGATGTCGAAGGGACTAGAAAGTGGGTATTTTTCAGTCTCCTACTACTGCAGTCTTCTGGTTTATTGTACTTTTCTTAGTTCCTAAGTTCAGTTCAAATGACTCCCTCCTTTCTTTACGACGTTAAAGGTCATTGACTGTTATTGCTGC